TCGCTCTCAGTGTAACTAGGAATTTGTTTTTTCAAAATCTCAATCAGTTCTTTTATCCGGCTGTCATCGTTTCTTGTCTTATTAATGGAATGAGCATTGAAATTAGACAGTTTTTCAGTCCGGATGTTACAATTATTTACGTATTTTAAGTCACTTGTGGTATTTATAACTTTGACTATTGGGTTACTTGTACTAATTATGCACCTTTCCGTGAAAACACCGTTATCAATTTCTTGTGACTCCACAAAAAGTGGTTCCGGCGAACTTTCTAAACTGAAGAGTCGAAAAACTTCGCATCTGGATAGAATTACGCAGGTATCGCTTTCAGTTCCGTGAAGAATCGGAATTGCGACTTTTTTGTTACCTACCCAGACGGAAATGCGATTGCTTGCATGGCTGATAACGCATTTATTGGCTTTCAAGAAGCCCTTACCCAATATACCGTCTGCAGGGATGTTAAACTCGTCATTAACCACATGTAACGTATGTTTTATAAAAAAAATCGGAAAAAGCCAAATTTGTCGTAATTTTACCCAGAGTGGAAACAGTATTAGTCACGCCCGTGATGCGGATAATATCATTTGTATCAATTGGAAAATTTTTGTTAAAACTTGAAATTTTAATTAAAGAAATGTCAGCTTGCGTATCGACCAAAAATGTGCATAATTTATTTGACCTGGAAATTTGCAATTGAATAAAATCTGAATAATTTACATTTAAGCAGTAAATGCCTTTTGTTAAGGAAAAATCGTTTAGTTGTCTAGCTGCTGCTCCCCCAGTGTTCGCTCCTGAGGGGCGTGAGCGTTTAAATCACGGACGTTTGCATTTCTACTATCACCTTTTCTACTTCGTCTTTGGAATCGGAAAATGTTGTTGAAGCAAGTATTGACTTGACCAGATCCGACTTGGCATTTATTCGACAAACATTTACGGTTTGCTGAACGGCCATTTCATGAGCTTTTTGTTGCGTCATTCCTTTGGAATTGCCAGGTTGAATCCTTCCACGTAGAGCAATTTTGATGTCATTAACTGATAGTATTTGCGTCGGTAATGCTTCGCGAGCTTTTCCCTCTAATTTAGATTTTAAAAATGCCATCAACGTACTGGTTAGTTTTTCTTCAGCTCGGTCTTCTATCAAACTTATTTTATCGAGAAAAGAATCGAGCGCTAACGGATCCCTACTATAATTTTCTCTAATTATTGATGAACATAGACTAATAAATGACTTTTTCTGTTCGATCGTAGCCGTTTTGTAAAACCTTTTTGAAAAATCGGTAATATCAGGTGAGCTGGTAGCAGCTGGTGGAGCGTTATCTACAAATAATGAGTACTTTAAATCTGGAAGTGATGAGCTTCTTTTGATACAAAAATCTAGCGATGCTTCTGACTCAGCGTCAGCGAATTCTTCTGATTCGTTTGGCATATAAGACCTTAATGTATCCTTCGGAATTGGAATCTGACAATTTAACCTAACAAAGCACTTCACTAGTAGCTCCTTGCAACGTGATAACTTTGCTTGTACTTCTTTGAGGTTATGTGTTGAACTGTTATCGGTTACGTGCAATACAACTTTATTATATCAAGTTATAAGCGAATCTTTGTATTCTTTGAGTTTAACCGCGTTTGTCGACAGTGGTCGATTCTGCAAAATTCGCTTAGTTATTTTAACGAAATCAGATTGGTATTCTGTAAATTGTATTTCAAAATCTGGCATAACCGATAACCTCAAAACGTTCAAGCACCGATAGTTACCACCAGCTACCACTCACCGCACCCTTATGTTGAAAAAGAATATATGTATTACTTACTGAGAAAATAGTCAAATATTATAGTCCGCTGAAAATTTGGCATGCAATAAGGGGTATAGCCATGCAATAGGAAAGGTATGTGTTCTTTCTTTGTGCTGTCCCACATGCAATGTAAAAGATGGTGTTTTGTTTTTTTCAAACTTTTTTTTTTTAATTAGGCAAAATATTGTTTTTGTTTTTAATTTTGTAAATGTGTGGTGGGCACTTTACGGCAAATAATGTTTTATGTACATATACATATACATAGATATATAAATGCATAAGTGTATGTAAAAAATTTTGAAAAATTTTAGAAACATTTAAATTGTTATAAATTTTTGTCACTGCCGTTTGCTGTAGAAAAATAAAAATTGTTAAGGTGGGTCATTTAAGTAAGGGTTTTTGCGAATAAAATAGGTGTGGTAGTTTTTCGGTATAGAACCTTCGGAATTATTGTCAGGAAAATGTAGTTCTTTACGTCACGGTTCTTTCTGCCGAGAAGACAAATTAAAAATTGGAGTCAAATACGTAGCACAAAACTTGAAATTTTATCGAAAATTAGATGGAAGTAAAAATATTGAAAGTTATACAAGATAATTTAGGTGATTAAAATTATAAAAAATATTTATATATTCTAAATACATATATATATTTTATACTTAAATTCTGCTGCCTGCTGTACCGTTCCGCCATGAATTGCTGGTTATCCGCCGTTGTTGTTGTATGCTGCTGGTTACTGCTTGCTTCCGTTGCTAGTTGTTACATATATGTATACTGGTTGTTGTTTCGGTGTATTTTAACGCCGATGCTGGTTTTGCTGCCACTTGATGGCGCGGTTTCACATACCATCATGTATGTATATTTGGTGCCGTTTAGTGGCTTAGCGACGGTGGCGTGTTTTCATTACCGCTATGTAGCGGTTGTTACCCTTCAGTGACTTAGGGACAAGGTGGCGTTTTTTCACTCACCGTTATGTAGCGGTTGTTACGGTACAGTGGCGGCTTGGCGTCACTTGGTATGTGGTGCAGCACTCACACATTTTTCTAGTTTTTAAAATTATATGTATTTGGCTCACCGCCACCATGCCATGAAATTGGGTTTCTTTCGTTTTACTCGAAAATTTAATTATTTAATTGGGAAATTTCGTTACCACCGTTTTTTTTTTGATTTTTAAGTTTTTTTAAATTTTTAATTTTTTTTGTAGTTTTTTATTACTTGTAATTAGTACCACCACCAATAGTTTGCTTAGCTTTTGCTTGTTTCGATTAAATTGAATTCATTTTTCCCTTTTTTGTAGTTAGGTAACGTTTAGTTTTCTAGTTTAAGTTTCTAGGGCTACCTTCAATTCCTAGTTTTATGTAGTTAGTGCAGCTGTCTACTTGGGTAATATGAAATAATTTCTTTTTGGTGTGTACCCCGGATTTCGCTGGCCGGGGACGTACCCGTTCCCCTGATCGGGTCGTCTTCCTCCTCTGAAATTGTCATTTCCTGCTTTAGAGTGTTGGCCCCTATTGTCTACAGAGCCTGTCTTATTAAAAATTGTGTTTTCATTCTTATTGAAATTCCTATTGAAATTACTCCTGCTTCTGTTTGCGTACAGAACTTGCGTGAACCTTACTGGACTGACTTCTTTGGCCACCTGTATTGCTTCTACCAACTTGACTGGCCCAGCTGCTGCTACCACTGCCTTGGAAGGCTCAGACAAGCCTTTTTAAAAGCTGATAGACCTATTTGATCATTGAGCTTCAGAATGATCTCCCATGCGTGTCGCGTAAGCTTCGGCTGATTGCGTGCCCTGATAGGACCTGGCAATATCTGCATGTAATTTCGTTGTTGTGTTGTTGGGCTTATATGCTGCTTGTAAAACTATCTTTAGGGTTGGTATGTCAGTCGGTGTCCTGCTATTAATTTGTTTTTTACTTTTTCAGATAGCTTGGCCATTAATATGAATTTTACTAGCATTTGCCTTTGAGCACCATCTCTTAAGGTTTCGCTATAAAATTCTTTGTAACCTAAAAAGTTATTTAAATCTTTTTGTTCCCCGCGGAACTGCGGTATTATCTTTGAGGCTTCTACCAAATTGAATTCTGCCATGATAAAATTTTTTTTCCAGAGGTCTCTTCTTTGATTACCAAAAACTTTCCTATCTCTTTGGTTAACCCGTCATATATTTCTTTTAACCTTTCGACATCATCACTAGCGCATCTTCGAGTATTCTTAACCGCCGGTGCCTTTTTTAGTTTCGCTAAAAGTTCATTTAAATTATTAAACTCCATATACCCCTCTACAAATTCTGCTCAATAATTTACTCATCTATGTAATGTTTTTAAGATCCTAGACCTTAGTTCTATCATATTTATTTTTTTCACTTAGTATATTAATATTTAATGCAATATTTATTGTAAAACTGATTCATGCTATACATTATTGTTTACGCTCTTATGCTTTTTTATATATTTTTTATAATGCGCATTTAGCTTTGATAGTACTAAAATTATTAAAATTATTGAGTTTACATATTTTAATTTTGTGGGTGTATCAAACTGCTGTGATGCGGATGCTACTGCTGCGGCTGCATTGTTGTTGTTGTTATTAACAATTTCCTTCTTTGTTTGGGTGCCACTCATCTTTCCTCAGTTTTGTTGCTATGTAATGCAGACGAACATGTGTGCGAAAGGGAAATCTATTTCCTGGTGCAGAGTTTAAAGGAATCGGAAGAGTATGAGTCAGGATAGCAAAGCTCATATTTATACTTTGAAATATGCCTCTAGGAAAAAGAAATATTCTTCCCAGCATTCTTTACAGTTTCCAAAGAAGCATGAAAACATTCCATTTTGTTGGACAGCTAATTTCGTTTTAACCGTGCGATGTCATTAGTTAGACTCTTTTCCCCTCTGTAATGTAATGTTTGTCACCAGGACCTAAGTCCTTTCAAAACCTATCAGACTTGTTCCCTGAACGGTCGGCAGGATCGACATGCAATGTTTGGTTATAATTTTCTAATGGTTTGAGTATTATTCTAAGCCCTCCGGCTGCTTTGCTCAAGCGTATAACGCTTGTTATATATACTACAACATGTTTACAATCTATTACAATAGTTCAGTTATAAAATATCTTATTTACTATGGGTAACCAAGCACATTGCTTGGTTACTCCCTAAGCTATTTCTCCTTATTTACATTCATTCTTTATTTACTTTGGGTATTCATGTAGTATGCGCTGACCCACATCGCTCGTCACCCGATCTTGCGTTTGTAATAGCAAGCGTTAAGTGTGCCCCATGTGGCGCCACACGTTAAGCCACAGTGCAAGCCATTACGAGTGTTCTGCATGTGTCATCAATCCACACTCGATCGTCACAACAAATACGCCGATTCAGCAATATACAGGCATGTTCTGCAAATCGTTTCGGGTGATATTTTCGTATTTTCCGTTTTCAAATCGTTTGACATGTCCTGTAAATCGTTCCGTTTTCATTTTTTCGAACATGAGCAAATCGTTTTGTCACCCTGTTCTGGAAATCGAAATCGTTAAAATTTTCCCGTTTTATATTCGTCAACTTAAATGATAGCGGTTTGGAAGTCTAATAAACGTTTTTTTGGAATAATATTTTTAACAATGTAAGTCCTTACTCAAATTAGCTACTTATGTGTAAATTTAAGTTATTATTTAAAAACTTTTAGGGGAAAACACAAAAACTCCAAGCAAGAGCTAATTTTAGTTCAATTAATGGAATCTCATCCAGATCTGGCAAAGAATTTTTCGAAGGGCGACAGAGTTGCCGTTGAAGAAAAGTGGAAGGAACTGACCACATTGCTAAATGCAGAAGGGCTTCCCCAGAAGGACGTTAATGGATGGAAAAAAGCAAGTTATATTTAATCAAGTATTAAAATGAATGATGCATCCGTAAAAAGGTTGCCTATAACAATTTGGAATCGAGGGCAACAGAAGGTGGCCCTTTTAATAAACATGTATTAACGCCCAACGAAGAATGTGTTGCCAGAACTTGCGGAATTTTCGCGGCTGTGGAGGGCATTAATCATTCCAGAAGTTTTGGAGCCGAAGAAAGCTGCATCGCCAGTGAGTCGGAGGAAGAGCGTCCGCAAACAAGTAGGGAAGCCGTGGCTACCCCGAGAGCAGCAAAAAGGCCACGAGCCTCCGAAACACAAGACTGCCTCCAGACATGCATGACAACACAAGCCTCTTGCATGGAAAGAATTTCAACCACGTTGGATGACGTTTGCAAAAGCCACCAAAAAATTGCAAAATCGCATGAAGGGGATAGGGATGATATTCGACGACTTCGTCGTGCTGCTGAAAAACAAAACGAGTTGTTGGCAGAGCAAAATCGGTTGAAAGCGCAAAGTTTGGAGGAAAAAAGAAGGCATCACATCAGAATGGAGCAGTTGCAACATGAAAAAGTTAAAATAAAAATGAAAATGCTTGAGCTAGAGTCGCCAAAATGAATACAAACTCCATATCGACACCTGAGTGGAAGATCGACCTATCTCGGCAGCCAGTTCGAAAACGCCCTATCTGAGAAAACTTTTCAAGAACGCCCTACTTCATAAAATGATTAAGAACGCACTATTTCATAATTTTATTGAAACACTCCCTATAAGAATTTTTCTGAAAAACGCCCTATCCCAGAATTCGATTCAAAAACGCCCGATCCCAACACATTTTCAATATATTTTCAGCTCAGATAAGGTGTTTTTAAACCGAGTTTTGAGGTAGGGCGTTCTGCAACCAAATTCTGAGATAAGGTGTTTTTCAATCAAATTCTGAAATAGGGCGTTCTTTAATCAAATTCTGAAGTGGGGCGTTCTTGAAAAGTTTTCTGGGATAGGGCGTTTTCGAACTGGCTGCCGAGATAGGTCGATCTTCCACTCAGGTGTCGATATACAACTTTTATGTATTTAATTTTTAAATGAATAAATTTTATGTTTCATATTATCAAATTTCTAGCAGTAGAGTCTCTTAAATTTCGACCAACACTACTCAAAGTACTGCTTTCCTCATTTTCAGCTATTTCCTCATCATTAGAATCGGTTTGTATTATGCTTTCTTTTCAATATCATCTATTTGATTACGCCTACATATATTATGTAGTGCGCAACACACATTTATTATCTTCACTGCTTTTTGTGGCGTATACGGCATGATACAAATATTTATAAGGTACAATGGCTGAGAGCCAGCTTTAGGAATATTGACGTTTGCTAGCATTTTGAAAATTTCTCTTGCCGTCATTTCATTTGTTTGTTTTTATTTTCACTCAAACCAAATAAATATATTTTTTTTTTTTTTTTTTTTTTTTTAATAAGCTTAATATTAAAAATGCTTATTTAACGCTTATTATAGCAAACTTAATTTAAGTTATTTTTAAAAACGTTTACTGAAATGCTTGTTGGGAACAAAATTTTAATGCACATACACACACATATATACATATGTAAGTAAATAAATACGTAAATGTAAACAATTGTGTTCAATGAACTTCTACATACATATCGTCGTTTAAAGTACAAAACCGCGTATCGTCATTCTGCAAAACCGCGTAACTGACATTGGCTGCCAAAAATTGGCTTTGCTCACACAAGCTCTTGGCTCAATCCTTATCCATTCTTCCTGAAATATACTAGCCAGAAATGCGATTGCTTTAGATGCTTTCTATTCCTAGACAACCGGTCAGGTACGAGCCTGATTTTTAATTTCGACCAAACTCAAATACATACATTGTTTGTTGGTCCAAATAATGAGACACGTATTTTTTCTTTTGGCTCGGAAAAATTTTTCGGCCGAAATACAAAATCACATTTTCCCGCTTTTTATAATCGAAACTGTATGGTGGAAAGTGTGTTCTAATATCTATTTGATACACAAAAAATGATCACGGCTGTATTTTTTGCTGATATATTACATACATATGTTCCATTTAGTTAAACAATATAAGAATATTGTAGTATGCACCACAAAAACGTATATTTTCTATAAAAAATCATAACTCAGAAAAAGAAAATCTTCGCCATTAGAGATTTGGGTTGATTGTAGTTCAAAGTGTCTCTTTCCCGGTAAAAAAGTTTGAAAAAAATACACTTTTTGAGAAATTAAATTAAAAAAAAAATTTGCACTTTTTGTTTATTGTTAAATAAAAAATTTTAAATAATGAAAATCAATAATTATATCATTCTATCTTGAAGTGACAAGAATTACTGACATAATATAAAATAATGAAAATAATTTCTACAACTTCACATACGCGGTTTTGCATTTTGCTGATACGCGGTTTTGCATTTTGTTGATACGCGGTTTTGCACTTTAAACTACGATATGCTTACATGCATAAATTTAAACATTTTTTACCTTAAAGGCACTGCACTCTTGCAAAGAATGATCTTGTGCTTATATTGGGTCAAGTGGTGTGGTAAAAAATGAGCCGAGCACACATACGGGCACTTTGGCAAATCCGCTTCTATAACACCACAAGCCTCGATCCATTTTTGCCGTATATACGATAATTGCGGGAACTTAAAAAACTTGATATTGCTCTGCTTGCAGTGGACAACGGTATTTGCGCAGCCGTTAAAGCAGCAACTCATTTTTCGTTTCGAAATTTTTTAGTTTTTCCAACTTCTGAATAAATAAATATTTCAAATCATAAATTTAAATTTGTTTATTTTGAATTTCTTTGACATTAGAAGCATTTCGAGAGAGAAAGCTCAAAATGCTAGCAAACGTCAAAAAAACCCAATGGTGGACGAATTGAGCGAGCGGTTTTACCTTTAAATATTTGTATCATGGTATACGGTAAGGTAGTTTTCAAACAACGAAACCGACTTTTTAGAACTCGTATAACTCGCTCTACCATGTTACGTGCTTTTGCATGTTGCTGGTTGAATCTGTGTTCTGGTGATCCTGGATCGGAGTTTCTATATGGAGTCAATAAAAATGGTTCTAAGCCAAAACCAGAATCTCCCAGTAGCCAAGACCCTCGGTTACCAGCTTCATACTGCGAGAGGTAATATTGTTTTGCACTGCTCATGCTAAATACGAAAGCATCATGGTTTGCGCCAGGCCGAGTTGCATCTACCGCTCGTATTGTCATATCAGAATCACAAATATGTAATATAAAACAGTAGACTTAAAAAATTTACAAACACAATTTGAATTCATTCTTACAATCATTGCATTTATGCTAAAGAAACCTTTTCTGTTAAAAAAAAGATGTTCGTTCTCATAAGGCTTTACCAGAGCGACATGGGTTCCATCAATACATCAATTACTCCTGGAATCCCAAATTTTTGCACAAAATTAAGTTTCGTTTTTCTGGAATCCTCTTCAGACATATTCAGCTTAATCCACTTAGGACACAAAACATTTTCCAATACATTAACCATTTCGGATAATATTTTTGATACTGTGCTTCTACCCAAAGCAATATCGGCATCCTTTCCGACTGAACGTTGATACGAACCTTCTGCGAAAAATCTAAGGCTTTCTGCCAATTTTAGTATAATCGGTATTTCTTTTACGAAAGGTGTTACTTCATTGAGTACTTCTAAAAAAGCATATTTGTTTAAGCGATAGCTGGAAACAAATCTAAAGTAAATAAAAAAACTTATGAGTACAATGAGTATAACCGTTTAAGCAAAACTTACGTAGAATCCGGTGTACTGAGGGGATTAGAATTGTCTCTTTAATACCGTCTATCGATTCTATTTTGGTAATGTGGCTCCCGTTCGCTCAACACATAAGCAGCCATAAAAAAACATTGTACTTATTTAATGAAATCCGTTTACTTTCAAATTATTTTGTATTTTATGCCAACGAACTCTTTTGTCATTTGGTTTGTTTAATTGTCACAGGGAAATCAGCTGTATCGAAGTTAAGTTCGAACTTAAATAAAATCGAACGAATTACAGAACACCCAAAACCAAATCGTGCGAATTGCAATTTCGGATCCGATTTTAAATCGCGCGATTTTCAGAACATGCCTGATAAGCCACAAGTGTTTGATGTAGGTCGTCCAACAATAAAAAAAAAATACTGGAAAATTATGCATTTGAAAAAAAAAAAATTGTAAAAATCAGTGTTAGCTGTTTAATAAATGACTATAGGTGCAGGAATGATATTTTCAGGGATTGAAGTCAGAAGTCCAAGCCTTAATTTAAGCCTTAGTGGAAGGCTCGACCACCTTTTGCTTAATTTCGATAGGTACTCAAATTTCCCATAATCAGTTTCTTCTGTTCATCAAATGACTATAAGTGACCATCAAGAAAAGGTACAGGAATTTGCAGGGATAGTAGTCTAGATTTTTAGCTTTAATCTAAGCCTAAGTGTTTGTAAAAAATACGATTTTTTTGGCATTTTGACCTCGTTTTTCTTAAAATCTGGAGCTGATGGAAACTTTACGCTTACGGATATCAGCACAAAAAAAACCTGTCAAAAATAGTGTTAGCATGTGCTGCATAAAATTTTTTGCATTGTTAAATAGCGAATACCCGCATGT